AAGTAGCCAATGAGGAGGCAGCCTCAACCCCACAGTCACTACACTGCCCCCCCCTCATACACGTGGCTGTCCCCAGCCACAGAGTCCAGCACAAAGTCCTGCAGAGGGGGGGGAAGCCGCCGGACGCGGCCCGAACGACGTAACCTGGTGGGGGAAGGAAAGTTCAGTTCAGCGGGGGCATCCCCCCCAGAGTCCCCAGTGGCAGCATCCCCAGTGTCCGCGGAAGAAGGCATGTCCTGGACCCCACAGTCCCCATCTGGGGCCACCCTCGGCTGATAGGGAGCCAGTCGGTCTACATGGAGCACTACAACTCTGCCCCGCTTCTTCAGCCTAACCCTGTAGACCACCTCAGAGAGACGTTCCAGCACAACGCATGGCCCCATCCAGTGGGAGGCGAGCTTGGGCGACACCCCCTTCTTTCTAATGGGGTTATACACCCAGACTCGCCCCCCTGGCATGAACTCGCGCCCGCACATCATAGGCACGCTTCTGTTTGGTGCCGGCATCAGCTGTGTTTTGCCGCGCAAGCTCGTGCACTGTGCGGAGGCGCTCCCTGAGGTGGCCCAAACAGCCCAAACCTGCTTCCCCTGTTACCTCTGGCTCAGGAGGGGAACCAAACACCAGCTCCACCGGTGTGCGGAGCTCCCGCCCGAACATGAGTGACGCCGGGGTGCACTGGGTGGACCCCTGAACCGCCGACCGGTACGCCCACAACACGAATGGGAGGTGAAGATCCCAGTCCTTCTGCTTATCACTACACAAAATCGCAAGCTGCGTGGCGAGCGTGCGGTTGAACCGCTCGACGAGGCCATCGCTCTGGGGGTGCAGAGGTGTGGTGCGCGTCTTCTGCACCCCCAGCAGCGCGCAGACCTCGCCGAAAACCTCGGCCTCGAAGTTGCGGCCCTGATCACTATGGAGCTCTTCGGGAACTCCAAATCGCGCGAACATTTCGTGCACGAGTACCGTGGCCGTGGTGGCAGCGCTCTGATCAGGTACGGCGAAACCGTCGGGCCACTTAGTGAAGTAGTCCATGGCTACTACGATGTAACGGTTTCCCCGCTCGGTGATAGGAAACGGGCCCAGCACGTCAACCCCCACCCGCTCCATGGGCGCCCCCACGCGGTAAACCTGGAGCGGTGCGTGTGCCTGCTGTGTCGGCCCCTTTTTGGCTGTGCACCGATCGCATCGGTGCACGAACATCGTTACGTCCTCGTGCGCGTCCGGCCAATAGAACCGTTCGCGCAGCCGCCCAAAAAGTGTCCCGTGCCAATAGCTCCGTGGACGAGACCTAGAATGCTCAGTCTTAGTGCCCTCGGCACGACCGCTTGCCACAGCACGCTTCTACCGTCCCCACGCACCCAACGACGATAAAGCACTCCTTC